TGCTCAGGATTTCACCCTGTCCTTTCTTTCAGCTAAGCTGGCTTCCTGTTTGAGTTGGCAGGGCAGATACCTTTGTCCCTGTCCAACAGGGCATACTTGGAGTTGTTTTTCTCCCAAGCTTATGGAGCACTCTTAGAAGTCTCAGTCTATTCCAGCTGCAGCGTGGCTGGACACACCAAACAGAAACATTGTGTGTGCACTGCAAGTCAGAATGGTTTTGTGTTAAATGCTGTTCTAAAGTAAATGTCTGAAAGCACAAGCAGTCTTGAAGGCCTGGTCTGATCTTGTATTTGTCATTACATTTCATGACAACTGACATGAATCTACGTCTGCACTAAAGAGGCTTTCTCTGCTTATGACAAACACCAGTTAAAAGGTGTGCAGTGATGCTGGAGGGGGGCATTGCTCTTATTATAGCAGTAGAGGGGAAAGGACACTGCCTGGCTGCTCTCCTGTGCCACAGCACATGGCAAAGGTAGACCCAGTCATGTTTGTGGGCTGTAGCAAAAGAGGAAGGCAGGACATCTCTGGGAAGATATGAACCAATAGTATAAAGCCAAAACTTACTGTCTCCTTGGGAAAGGGGGAGGGAAATAATCTCTATATTTAAAACAAGGCATTGCAGGTGGGCATATATCTCAAACTGGATAAATTTAAAATTCTGGAGTGATGGGAAGACTTGGTCTTAGTGTTGAGAGGCATCCACATGGTCTGACTTCTACCTGCAGAGCTTTAAGTCCATGTTCTCTGAAATCTGAGGATTTGTCTTCCAAAGGTCTCAACCCAATAAAAACATAATAGAGTCCCAAATTAATAAAGCTGTACATGTTCTATAATTTAGTGGAACTAAAAAATCCACATTGAAACAGACACAGGCCATTTCCATTCAAATCCCTCTTCTGCTAGAGGCTTGGGTAAAGGGAGGGACTCTCCAGTGTGACTGAAAATAAAACCCCTATGACATACTGGAAAGACCAAAACCAGATGGCTTCTGGATTCACAGGCTTCCAGAGTGCCACATTCTCAGGCCATGCCTCCAGGCAGTTCAGTGCTAAGCAGATGCAGCTGCCCGGCAGGCCCTGCTGAAGCCCTGTCCTAAAAGACAGGAATCAGAACCTCATCATGCTGGTACACCCTGGATCTGAAAACTTCTTCTGTTTCAAAACTGTGCTAGTATACACTATACTTATCTTGGTGTAGGATCTGCGATCTCCCCAGGGAGTACATTGACGTTATACGAAAGCTTTTCTTTTTGGAGGACAAAAAAGCAACTCCATATCAAGAACTAAATTTGCTTCCTCTTCCCTGTTCATAACTCTTCTGTTCATTTAGCTTACTAGCAGGGATGAGCACCCAAATGTCAGCTCTAAAATACGGATTTCTTGTTTGCAATCCTCTGGTCTAATCTGATGAAGAAAGTAAGACATAACAGATTTTTGGGCCCAAGCAAAGCAGACTGCAGTTCAATATTGAATTCTTGTGGTAAACTACCAAGAGAGTAAAAAACAATTTAAAAGGGTTTGAAACTACAGGAACTTCATGAAAAACTGCAGGATTTGAGACAAAGATCTGAAAAAGGTAAGAAGAAAGAAAGAAAATGTATCAAATTATTCATTATAGTCTTAACACTCTCCTCAGATTAACAAGAAGCCCATTGCCTGATCCCAAGTGTAACAACAGGCTGTAATTTAAAACAACTTTTATTCATTAATGAATAGAAAAGTTATATCAGTGAGAACTTTGATAAAACCTGTGCCAAGTACCAGCACTAAACAGTCTTTCCTTGTAAAGATGTGGCTTGCTACCTGATTGTGTGTTGGGACACTAGCTATTGGCTTATGCTACCAATTCAATCACTTGGTTTTAAATGAAATTAACCTTGTGAAAATGCAGACTATTCTTTTCAGCAGATGGTACTGTTTGTGTATACAAATACCTCTTGGAAATGTTAATGTAAACCACATGCTCTGAAATGACAGGATTCCTGCACTGAGCCCTTTATCCTCCTGAAAATGAAAAATAACACTCTGTGAGCTCAGACTGGTGGCTGCTGCAGCAAGACCAGTGCCTGCTTATTGCTTATGCTGGCTGAACTGGGCACAAGAACAGTGAGGGGAAAAACAGGTGGAGGGCATAGAAAGAATGTTGGGCTGTGGTGCTTCTCTCCCCTAAACACCTGTATTAGCTCTAGAGGAGGGATGCAAATAGCCACTGTTAACCTGTTTGAGCTCTCCTCTACATTGCAGCTCCTTCATATTTTACTGGATAAATTAATCCCCAAAGTGCTTTATGCTGCTGTTCCTAGACTGTTTTTGGTTGCCAGCTAGGGTGACTCTTCAGAGCATATTCTGAGGCTTTACATTCCTCTGGGTTACAAGCATTTGCATCTCTCAGGAGTGCCTCAAGTTACGGCATGGCCTGATGCTGTTTACTATCCATCTTGCTTCCCCATGTCAACATTCACAAGGATCTGTCCTCAAAGCCTTAGAGAGCAAATGTTCTTAAAAAGAGACAGATTGCAAAAGCTGCACCTTAGGGCAACGTTCTGCAGACCAGAACTATCACTGCAATGCAGAATTATCTCAAAAAGCCAGTCAGTCTTTTCCTCTGTACATTCACATTCTGCCAAGAGCACAAACAAACAGGCTTCCTGTAAATAGTGGAATTTACAGTGAAATAGTAAACCTTAGGGATAACTCTGTCCTCTACCAAGCTCCCTCAGAGCTATACGGCAGATGTGGTCAGTGGGAGATGAAACAGCCCCGAGCACAGAAACCATCAGGTTGGAAGCTGCCACTCAAACTGGTTCCTGTTCCCTGTAGAGCTGTACAAGGCTGAATCCTTAAGCAAAACAGAGCTGTGTGCAGTGCTTAACCTGTGGCTTTGTCCTCACTGCAGATTATGTGTTACATACCAGTCCTTTGTGGGAAAGGCTGATTCTCATATGAATGTGTCTGAATATCTGGGAAAAAACCTCCTTCCCCTACTACCTTCTGTCCCTCCTTTCCTTCTTGAAGTTGCCAAAATCAGCAATAAATTGGAATAGACAGAGCTGACACTTTTCAAGACAACATGTGGTTGGCTAGGCTGGGTCACCGAAAAGTGCACAGAGGTGTAACTTAGAACAAGTCCTGAACAATGGCAAAACATCAAAGTTGTAACAAAAGCTGCAGGTAATGAAAGCAAGTTGAGGGTGGCTGGCTGCTGTAATCATGGAATTGGTCAGGCTGGAAGAGGCCTTTCTGGGGAAGAGTATGAAGCACAAGTCTGATGAGGAGCAGCTGAGGGAGCTGGGGGGGCTCAGCCTGGAGAAAAGGAGGCTCAGGGGGGACCTTCTGGCTCTGCAACTCCCTGACAGGAGGGGGGAGCCGGGGGGGGGCTGTCGGGTTCTGCTCCCAGGGAACAAGGGACAGGAGAGGAAATAGCCTCAAGCTGTGCCAGGGGAAGTTTGGAGTGGATATCGGGGAAACTTTCTTCACTGGAAGGGTGGTGGCATTGGAAAAGACTGCCCAGGGCAGAGGGTGGAGTCCCCATCCCTTCAGGGATTTAAAAGCTGTGTGGATGTGGCACTTGGGGACATGGGTTAGTGGTGGCCTTGGCAGTGTTGGGGGAACAGTTGGACTTGATCTTAGAGGGCTTTGTACAAAGAAATTCCTTTTGTTAACATTAATATTTGGTGGCTGGAGCACATTAGGACATTTTAGTTGGGTTTTACAGAAAGAAACTGATACAGAAAGAAGGTAATGATTTTTTTAATAGAGTATCTCTCTGGGGGGTTGTGTTCATATCACAAACATTCACTTTATTACATTTTATGGAATGGACTTTAAATGCCAGTATATACAAGACAACATTTCATTATTGGAGTTTGTGTTTATTCACTTGCCATTGTCAGTCTGTTCCCCTTTGTTTTCTCATGCTGCTTTTTGTAAAAGCTATGATTTATGAATATGAGGTTTAGATCCCTCGCAATATAGCACAGTGAAATGGTTCAATAAAAAGTTATTAAAGTAAAAAATCTATAGTTTTGTGTGCTCTGCCCACCTTGTAGAGGAACCCCCAGTAAGAGATTCTTACTCTAAGCAAACACTGTAATATAAGCTGCCTGCTGAGAGGCCTCACTCAGTCAGAACTGTGCTGAATGGCGGCCATTGCAGGCAATTCCAGTCCTGCCCACATAACTGCAGGATTACACCCTCCCAATTACAAAAGTAGCATAGACCAAAAAAGGTCGGGGAGAAATCTGCCATAAAATGTCAATTTTATAACCAGGAAATAAAGACTTCCAGTAGCCTTAAGCTGCACAGTACCAAATGGCACATAACTGTGTGTGCACCACATTTAATTTATCTTTAAAAGAAAGCTCTGGATCCTGCTGATTGCAGGATAAAGAAAGATGACTTTGGGCAGTTTCCAGAGCCCACTTAGAATCTGAATTTCTGAAGAAAAGTAACACTTTTCCAGGCTAAAATAGAGAGTGAAAGGGTGATTTAGACTACCCTCCCTCAGCCCACACGTGTTTTTCACCCAGCAGTATTGACTTGCCACAGCTGCACAGCCACATAAAAGAGGGGATGACAAATGGGCCACTCAAGCCTGTGGCTGGCAAGAAATGAGAGCTGCTTATAACAGTGAAAGCTGAAGGAAGCATTCTCCAGGCTAAAAAATAATGTGTGAGGAAGACATGGAAGGTGGTAGAATCTGTTCAACTGCAGCACAGCAGCAGGAGTATAAGAGATGGGTTACCAAACAATTTTGCTGCCTCTATTTTGTGTTCCCAAATCTCTGAAAAAATTTTGCTCACTACAAACAGCAAGCCCTCCGTCTGTCTGAGGGAGGGAGAACTTCAGCAAGTGAGGATTACCTCAATGAGTGACAGGCGTTAAAAGCACTGAGGCACACCACAGCCAGCAGGACCAAAATCCCCAGCCTGGCACTGCGTGCCCCCAGGAAGCACCATGCCCAGCTCCTGAGCACACAGCGTGCTGCTGCACTCGGCTTCTCCCACTGCAACAGAGCAGCTACTGAGGAAGCAATCACAGTCCCTCTGTTATCTCTGGCAAACAAAGAATAACAGCTTTGTTTTTGTTTGTATAATCCTATACACTCTCTTGGAGATCTAAACTTGAAGGTTCTAACCTGCTCCAGGCTACCAAAACAATTTTGCCACCTGCAGTGCTCTGCTCCGTGCAGTCCTGCACACCCATCTCCAGCAGGTGAGATGCTGAAAGGAAACACAGGTACGAGTGACAGGGCCCAGCACAGCCACTCAGCTGAACAGGCTGCTGTCCAGTCAGTGTTGCATCTTGCACACCTCACACACTCTTCTGCTGGGTACCTGAGGACACAAGCATTTTGTCCACATTGAATTCACCGATGTTAGATACCTGGATACCCATTGGCTCAATTCCTTTCCTGCTGAAGTAGGAGGATGAAGCAACTAACTTCTACTAAAAATATAGATAATAAGCCCAATAAAACACATTGACCAGCATGAAAAACAAAGGGAAAAGCAATTTGGAGTAGTGGTCCACATTGCCAGGGTTCTGAATTGTGAAATAACCAATAATCCTGTGCATTTTGTTTCTCAAGACACATTTGATTTTCTCATGGCTTTTCATAGTCAAATCACTGCAGTTAACATTATCACTGGAAATTTCAATGCTTGTGAAGCTGATTTTCTGTTTATAGCTGGTGATGGAATTGTTGAGGATATTAGTGATGTTGACATCTTCCATTTCTTTAGTGATCTTATTTGCTGGCCCCTAGGAAACAAGAGTGCAGAGCTAGTTTTAGGATCTGTCTTCTCCTGCAGAGGAAGGAAACCATAAGGATATAGATAAAAGAGTGGTTGTATGTGGTCCACTCAAACACGCCTTTCAGCTGCTTCCTATTTTTAGGAGGGCCTGAGGTCCCAGAGATGCCTGTGTTTCCACCACTGTATTTCTAGAGGTATTTTTAGACCTTGAGCAAGTCTCACTCTGTCACTGAGCAACCCAGTGCAACCCAACATGCATCTCCTCCTGGACATCCATCCTTCATGTCTACTCAGTAACTTAATGGCTGGGGAACACAGCATTGAAGTGGGAAACCTCTTTTCCCTCTGACAGGATTTGGGCCTTTGATGACTACTGGACTATGGTCATAGTTGACTTTTTAATTTCTCACGCTAAAGCAGAGCACTTGAACAATGTACTCTCGCAATCCCCATGGAACATGGTGGGACTGATGTTTGGTAGTGTCTTCTGGGAAGGGAGGAAGAAGGGTTCATATTTCCTTTGTAAAAAAAAGAGCAAAGTACCTTCCTAATCAGAGTTATTCCATAGGAGAGCAAAGAGGTTTGTTATACCGAGTCTTCTCTGGCTGCATTTTGAAAGGAGCAGAGGTGCTTCATGCTCACGTGAGCTCAGTTCAGGGCCACAGACCCAATTCCAGTGGCAGGCCAAAGTGCCTTCCTGAATGTGGTCTGATGAACCCAATATGACTGTCAGCTGAGGCTGCTGCTCAGAAGTCTGTCAGAGACACAGTGCTCTAGAGCTATTCATGTGCTTGCTGCACACAAAAATAAAGATTTAGTGCCATTTAGGAGAAGCCAGTGTTAATGTACCTGTAACAGGAAGACCATTTGTCTTATTCAGTTAATGGAGAACTAATTGCTGCCAATCCAAGATCTCTGGGCTTATCAGGCCTTACCTCTTGAGGTACTTTAGGTGCACACTTTTGTGATGAGCTGTAGTGAGCCACTGCATATTCCACAAGGGCACCAAAGATGAAGCTGAAGCAGATGCCAAGATAAACATCAATGGCCTTAATGAAACAGTTGGTTTTTGAAAGTGAACTTCGTGAGCCGATCATCAGAGTTGTCATGGAAAGCACTGTTGTAACTCCTTGGAAAGCAGAAAAAGAGATACCTTCTCTTGTGGACTCTTTGGAAAAGTCCTGGCCTACCCTTCTGCCCATGTTGTTGCTCATATCATTTCTTACCAAATCCAAATCATCCATCGCAGCAACTGAAATGCTTTTGCAGCACTAGCTACAAGTTTCACACAGGCTCTCCCTGCTGTTGACAACCTGGCTCCAATAAGCACTTGACTCTCTTCTTTTTCTGGCTTTCTGTAAAAAATTCCCCCATCCTGCTCCCTCCAAAGCACACCACAAAGAATGTGTGCTCTGTCCTCTACTCTCTGCTGTGAATCTCCTGGGAGCCTTGGCAGGTGGGCACGTGTACCTGCCACAGCACATCCTCCATGCTAACCCAGCTCTGCCCCAAGCAACAGCAGAAGGTCAACAGACTATCCCGGAGCAGAGAGCTCAAGAAAAGGACCATCTACCCAACCTTCAGAGGCTGCCCTGCCAGCTTAAGTCTTCTCAATTCCTCAGGCAATAACTCACCAATGCAGGTTCTTGCAGGCACTGAGTCCAATGTGATCCAAAAAGAAACCCAGGACAACATGACAAGCAGAGTGGAGGGCACATAGGTCTCCAAAATGAAGTAAAGTACATTTCTTCTTAGCTCAAACTGTAATATCAGACGTGGGTAACTGCCTGATCATGAAAGGAAGAAACTCAGTGAGCATGAGATTCCCAAGGACACCTGAAGTGAAACTGGAACAGCCCAGCACCAGCCCTTCAGCTGAGGGACCTCAGCAGAGCCACACCATGATTGTGGGGGAGGCATTGCTTCACCTCAGAGGGCTTGCTTTGCCAACACATCCCACACGAGAGGACACACAGCACTGACAGGGCAGGGACATCCAATGATGCAGGGTTTGCAGAGGGGCTTCTGGGCTTCAGCCCCAGTGGAAGTATGTGACAGCAGTGCCTTAACTGGGAGCAGAGCAGGGCTGGTGCTGTCCCCTGCTCTCGCACACTCAGCTCAGTGCACTTTTCCCAACACTGCTTGGAAGGGGCATTGCCAAGTTCAGGCTCATCTGATGGCTGAGAAACACACAAAAGATTTGTCTCTCGATTTCAGCAGGCTCTGGCTCACATCCCAAAGCATCCCACTACCTTATCATCACAAGGAATTAGATGCTCTGTTTTCATTAGCAATTTGTGATCTTTGATAATGGTATCCTTTTCTGCTCAAAAAAATTCAGTCAATTTTTTAAAATCAATTATTTGTAAATACTGACATAAGGGTTCTGGGGTTGGATCAGTAATGTTTTCAGGATATAGTTCTGCTGTTTAAACAATAGCTCCCTTTGAAACGTAGAAACAAAGTCTGTGTTGTTCATGGGCTGTGTACACAACAGAACAACAAAACACTGTTATTTTTAAAACCTTCTAAGGAAGTTTTGCCCCCCTTTCACAGTGTCTGTGATTGGAGAGAAGAGTATTTACACTGATAATGAAAAAGACATTGAATTCTGATGTACAAAGAGATGTTATTCCATCATGATAGAATTGTAATTTACAATCAAAAGTATATTTTAAAAATTAATTTTACTCCCAGTTACTGTAACTTTATAGAAAGAAGGGAGAAGGTTTCTTCAGGTATGTGTGGAGATGTGATGGGAAATACCCAAGAGCTTTCCTTACCTTTTTCTTTCACAAATTTACCTGTCTCCTGCTGTGACTTGGAGACCAGGGTGTAGTAACGCTCCACCGTGTACTGGGAGAGCCGCAGCTGCTCCATGCCATGGACAGAGTCATTTCCTCTCAGCCATGTGAAGGTGACATCGTTTTCATCATAGCCCCCTAAGGAGAACACAGAGACCTGTCTGACTGTGGTTTAGCCATTACAGCTTGGTTGCTGCCCTGCTCTGAGTCCTGAGGGGGAACACAGCCACGATCCAGGCACTACAGGCTGGACAAAGGCCCTCAGAGCTGTGTCAGACCACAGGCGGACCTTGGCTGTGCCTTCATTGCTGCACTTTGTCTCCTGGTCCAGATTTCAATAGGAACACGTGCCTTTGGGAACGACACACAACATGCAAGCCTGCAGAGAGTCTATTTCAATCCTTTACATGGGGTATTTCTGATTTAAAGATAATCGATTGCTGTCATGCACAGCTTGATTACATGCAGCAGGATTAAACACTGCAGCAAGTAAGCCTCAAATGTAGTCTCTTCAGTCTGAGAGGAGAGCAGGAGATACACAGTGCTTAAAAATAGAGAATTCAGATCCCACTGAGTCCCTTACCAAGGAGCAGAAGCACATTTCACTGAATCACCTATTCAAGTGCCTAAAAATAGGAGAAAATGCATTTTCAGTCAGTCAGAAGCTTAGAACTGAGACTGCTACATGGTTATGAACTAGGTTCCTCTGACTGGATACGCATTGCCCAGAAAACTTGCTTATAAAGGCAACTGTTTCTACAAATCATTCCTCCTATCCCCAAAGGCATTAAGTTACTGAGGACAAATAAATGCCCCTGACATTTAAGTAACACCAAATTCCTGCCTCCAAAGAAGTGGGACTCCGTATATGCCACCTGAGTAAGTGCTTCCAGGAATGTAAGTGATGGCATAACCTCAGGTTGGACTGAGGGATATCTCAGTCTGAGAGATAAAGCTTGTACTGAATCACCAGCCTGCCATTCTCTTCAAAAATTTCACTTAATTTAGGAAACAAGCCCATCAGTCTCACTGATGTAATTATTTTATTTTATTTGAGACCACGCGTAAGGACACTGTGATTCTGGTAATAACCCGTTCGTCCTGGTAGGAGGAATCAGATGCAGTTGCAGCTCTGTTTTCATCTAATTGTGTTTTCTTATTAGACACAAATTACCAGAGCTTGAGCGAGATAAGCTCCTAAATTAGGTGTCCAGAGTATGAATCCCTGAGTAGAATCCTAAGCATACGACTTTTCTAAGTTTCTAAGTGGTTTTATAAATTGTAGTTACTCAGGAAAATTTTATAATAAATGATAGATTGTTGTTAATTCATCTGGTATATATTTAAATAGCATTATTTCTGGGCACTTATCCTAATGAAATCTCCAGTGGGCAATGTGTATGTAATTTCATTGGAATTATACAGCAACTCAACATGATGTAGGATCCAATCACTTTTAAACCAGGCCCAAACAAGCTCCGCTTTAGCAGAAGAGGCCAATCATTATTATTTCAAGAGCTGTGCTTTGTAATAAAGTTAACCATGGTGAACTAATATGATTTTAATGTGAAAATAATATGTGCTTCCCTAGGTGCTTCATGCTGCAACCTCAGAAGTTAAAAAGATGATGTTTTCAGTGCTGAGATGTTTGGTTTTGTGCCATCAAGCAGGAGATGAAGCCTGCTCATTGTGGAGCTTCGCAGCACACAGCAGCAGAGCTGGCTGAGTTCTGGGCTAACAACCCTGGAGTGGTCTAAATTTTCCTGGAGCCTTTCTCAGCCAGCATTGCCATAGATGAACTTTTAATCTCATTGAGAGCAGAACTCACTGACAATTCCTTTTCTTGAGACTTCCCAGTCAGAGACTCTTCTGTTGACAAGGGTACTAGATACCTAAAAATGTGAGAGGTTGTTCCTTGCCATACCCCATCCCATGCACTTACCCCACAAGTTAGTTTTGAAGAAGCTATGTGTTCAAAAGGTACCAAATTTGGAAAACCAGCCAATATTACTTCAACTTTTCTGTGCAAAATTGAAATATCTGCATTTCAATATAAATATTCATTATTATCACTCTTTTTGCATAGTCTGCACAGTGACAGAAATTCTCTGGACCGTGGATTTTAACACAAACATTTGAAAATTGATGATGCAAAAGTTGTTTTCTTTTGGACATTAGTATCTGCAGGACTGAAAGTCTACTCCAGAAAGCCACTGCACTGAATCCAAATATTCAAGATATGTAGTTATTTATGAATAAACAAATTTAGAGTTTTCTAGAATGTTACACTTACAGCTTTCCAGCTGCAGTCTGCATGTTTGTGTGTCCATAGGATATTTTGACAGGTCCATGTTACAGGCAACAGTAGTAGTGATTCTGTAGGAGGAGAAAGAACTCTGAAAGTTGCAATAAAAGCATGTAATGAAATACCGGTTTTACATAACAAACTGGATGACAAAGACTTTGCTCTGTCATTAGGCCTATGAAATGAATGAATTTAGAACCCTCCTTAAGAGCATGTGCTCTCTGCAGCCACCCTGATGAATATGTAACCCAAGCAGGAATTTTGCTTTGCTCTGGTGGGAGATTCGGTGTAGATTCACATTTTTTTTCCAGTGCTACAGCTTGCACGTCTGAAGAAGTCACCACTTGTGACGTGAAGGAACGTTAATGAAGGGCACACATATTCTGGCTTGCTCTCATGGGGAGGTAAATGAGTTTTACTTTGCAGTTGAGGTAACTGGGACCTAGTTACTGGGAGTAACGAGACAGAGCACAGTAGGAACTGCTAACACAACCACAGAGCACATTCCTGCAGTACACAGACATATACAGTTTTTGGTAAAAAACAGAAGTCATTGCTACATGGCACTGGATAAACAAACAGGTTTCCACTATCAGTTAAACTTTCACTGTTATGATGTCCTCTTTCCATTCCTCCTCTGTCTCCACCTGACTCAACTTTTCTCGGGTGACACCGAAACTTGTGAGCTTTCTGAGTGCAGGACACAGCATATACCATGATGAGAAATCCTGATCCTTGACTGGCATTTGCAGGAGGCCAGAACAGGGGGAAATGCATTGGAAGAGTATGGTCACAGTAGGCTCACTGACCCTAAGCTCCTGACCCGTGACAGCTGCTGTCCGGTGTAATTCTGGGAATCTATTCTGACCCCTCACCCCCAAAGCAAAGGGTGACTCACCTCAAGGCATACAAGATGGTGCCATTAGAGAACAGCCTGATGAGACGGTTGCCCACGGTGACGTCGTGCAGGAAGGACCTTTTGGACTCCACGATGTAGGTGTCTGGCACCCAGAGCAGCTCCGCCAGGCGAGCATCCAGCGTGAAGCTCCTGTTGCCGTGGAAGACCAGCCGGGGGTCTGTCCAGCGCTGCCGCAGGGATATGGTAGCTGTGTAATCCTGGGAAAGAGAGGAGAGCCTGTGAGGATGCATGTCCAGAACCTGCACAGCACAGCCATGGGCATGCCACGTGTGACAAGAGACATGGCACACATTTGTTTAACCTGTCACAGCCAAACTTCAATGAAGCCTCAAGCTTTATTTTCAGCATAGTTTTATTTATTCAGTAATATTTTTAATATACTATATTCTAAGGTATGGTGTTTGAGGACTAAAGATTATACTTACAGTGCTTTTTTTAAAATAATGAGCAATTACTGTGATTGATATTTTTTTGTGTTCATTGTGCAGGTAAGAAAACATATGGGAAACACACACTTGAGGCCACCCAGTAAGTCATTGACATTACAGATGAGTCATTGTCTAGAGCTGGGAAATTCCACACGCACTATAAATATGATCGTGAAAGACACACTGGCACTGGAGGAAAAAAGGTAAGTGAATCCAACCTGTTACTTCACTGAGGTCTTAAAAAAGCCCCAAACAAAGGAAAAAACTAAACTGATATCTTTTAACAGGAGTTTTGAATCTAAGGACACTGGGATTAACTTGTGTTTAGCCTGCCAAAATCAACCTGCAGTGGCTGAAGCATTTTCACAGAGCCCCAGCAGAAAAGAATAAGCAGCACTCACTCAGCTCTGAAGCCAATGCTTTGCTGAGCCTTCTGGACACACACAGGCAGTGCTGGACTATTTCACTTCCACCCTTACAGCCCAAGTACATTCAACCAGTAATGCCTTTTATTTTCAGAACATCTCTGTCACAGACGGACTGGCACTGCTGGACTGGCACTTGTGTTAACAGCCTGAAGTCACTGTTTCACCACAGAAATGCTGCCTGGCTTTGGAAGATCAAGCAGTTCTGCTTCATTCCATCTCTAGTTTTTAAAATGCTCTAAGGAATTAAGGAATATCAGTGTTAGCTTTTGCAACTTTTAAAAATTCGCTCTTCGCCTGTGATGGAGTAAAAAAAAAGTCAAAGCCTTGTTATGGCTTTCAATACAGTGAGTTATAGTAGTGACAAAAGTGAAGAATCCTGGTTGATTTTCCAGCTTTGAGCAAGACACAGAGTGAGCCTCTGCAATATTTTCCATATGGTCAAAGAAATTTAGATGGATCATCCAGAAAAACTCCAGAACATGATCTATTTTACAAGGCACTTCAATTAAGTGAGAGGTTTGTGAATAATTGATTTTGTTGGTTCTGCTCCTTCCCCAAAATTAAAACCTTTAACAAAGTTAAAATATTTTATTTAGTGAACTTGTTTAATTTGTTAGAAGGAGGCAGAAAAACATAATTGGTGGTGGTAGTCTTGAAAATGCAGAAATTAAGTGTCGACATTTTTCCTGAATGACCTTCTAACTGTTTGGACTGAAATTATTTGCTGAATTTACCCAAGTTGCCTATGATTTTGGCCAACCCGAAACAGGAGCTTTCAGTGATCAGTGTTTGAAATCCAGCTATTATCAGAAGCAGAATGTACCAGACTCACCAGTGATGGGAAGATTTAAGAGATGTTTTGGGGTTTTTTTCTTTCCTTGGGAAGGCCAGTCCTTTGAGCCTCAGCCTGTGCTTCAGCTCAAAGCCTTACTTCTCCTCCTTGAGAAAAAACCCTGTCTGGGATTTCAGTCAGTGCCAGCACGTCCAACAGAGCCCATCCCTGTCCCATACAAAGGGCTCCTACATGGAGGAAAGGTAAGGGAGAGGAAATGCCACACAGTATTGATTTTTTCCATTCCCAAGGGGCCTGATTTCCACGAGGTGCTGAATTTTTGACCAGTAGGACCTTTGGAGCCACTTCTATTTACTTGCAAGCCCACATTACTATGGCATCTACACAGTCTGCAGTCATAGATGAGCCCTGTTTTCATCAGACCTCTGAAAGTGGTCAATAGCCCAGAACAGCAAAGTAGCTTCAAGTGACCATTTCTGTGGTCACAGAATATATGCCAAGTCTCTCAGGCTCTTATCTCATAAAATAAAAATTCTTTCACTTACCATGTTGCTCTCGGATATACTGGAAATACTTGCAATGTCCAGACTCATTGCAATTTGAACAGGTTCTCCTGTGGAGGGAAAGAAATGCCTCAGCAGACAGAAGGGAAGTGTGAAGGGCACAGTAAAGCCACTCAGGATGCTGTGCAGGGTGGGCACTGCCCCCAGCCTCACACGCTATCCCTAAAACCACAGAGGGCCAAAGAGCATTAGGCTCACAAGATTACATGATCCAAAATACAGTTATCACTGTCAGGGAGCTGGAGTTCTCTTCTGGTGCTGGTAGCAGAGGGCAAATACCCACCAGCACCATCTGTGAAGCTGAGCAGTTTGGATCGGCAGCATTTCAGTGGCATTTGTGCGTGGCCGGGCAGACAGGGCCACTGTCCCTTGCCTCCCAGCACCCCCCGGAGCGGCCCGGCCGCTGACTCCGCACTGGGCTCTGCTCGCAGCTCTGCCCACGCACGGCAGCCATGGGCAGCCCCGGTGCTCTGGGAGGCAGGAACGCACTGATTCCCGGGAACAAACCGCAAGTGCAACAGCCTTTGCCTCTTGTTAGTTACTACTCGACCGTTCTATTTGCAAACCAACTTTCAGCACTCGCCCTGGATCTGGGGAGTGCTGACACCGACTGCGGAGATCCACCGCGAGAGGGCGGCACCGCCCGGGAACGGCCGGGAGCGACCGGGAACGGCCGGGAGCGACCGGGAATCGCCGGGAACGGCCGGGAATCGCCGGGTACGCCCCAGGAACCAGCCGGGAACGGCCCAGGCATTGGCCCGGGAGCGACCGGGAATCTCCAGGAAGAACGGCCGGCGAATCGCGGTTACGGCCCGGGAACCAGCCGGGGGAACGGCCGGGAATCTCGGGCGGGAACGGCCGGGAATCGCCGGGTACGCCCCGGGAACCAGCCGGGAAGGGCCCGGAGCCAGCAGCGGCCCTGCAGAGGGAAATGCTGCACCAGCGCAGAGACACAAACTGTGCATTAGGTTGTGCCTGGTTTGTCTGATCCCCGGGACGAATGTGGGGCTCCAAGCAGGGCTTTCCAAGACATGCCTCTGCCTAAGTGGCGACACAGGAATGCCTTTCCTCTTGGGATTGCTAAAACTCAGTTTCATCATTTAAATGACACTTAGGAATGTCCAAGGGTCACAATTTCTAAATCGTTTTCCAGGTGGTCTTGGCTTTGTTTGTTTGGTTGCTTGGTTTAAGCTGTTACAAAATAAGTTTCATTTGCAAAGGATGTATTTTTTTAATGTAGGTGTCATTCATGCCCTCCGTCTATTTGGACTCTTGAAGCCCAGTCCAGTTACTGACCACAGGTTCAATCTGTGAGGACTCGGGCCTCTGGAGGAGGTGACACCAGAGTCCTGATCATTTCTGTATAACATCTGCCATAGATGCAGCTGATCTCCGTTTCATCATGGAGAAGCATCTCTTCACTGGTGTGACAAGAGTTGGAGGAGCTTTACTAGTCAGTCATGAGGTCACACGTTCCAGGCAAAACAAGACAGCAAATTCTGTATTGTCCCAGAAATTTATTACCATGGTCAGAAAATGGAAGAAGCTCAGTAGCAGCAGGTCAGTCTACAATGGGAAACATCCAAGGCCTTGTGAAAGTCAATGGGAAATTTTTGTGTCAAGCAGAGTTTCATTAATGGGTTCTGGCAGAAAACCAAAATGAATAGAAATAAAAAATGGTCATAGCTGTTTTTTAAACTTTCATTGATAGTTTTCAGATGCTGAATGTCATTCTGAGAAACCTTTTACTCTGTGTGATTACAGCACTCATCTGGAAAGTGGGAGACCTGACACCAAATTTGGTCAAGAGCCTCAGGTAAGTTTCTAAATGCCTGCCTGCTCCCGACTCCCCAGTCTCACCAAGGTTTAAAGCACGTTTGTGTCTCAGTGGAAAGAGAAGATGTGTCAAAAGTCAATATTTCTGGCAAGAAGGGTGCCTTCGTTCCTCTATAGCTGCAATCTACTAAATAGCTGTACATGAACATCTGTAAAGCAGAAAATCAAAGACTCAGGCTCTAAACAAAAGCTTGTACAGTTAGAGCAGAATTTAGTTACTTGGTCAGGTCTTTCCTAGAGATGTTGAAGTTTATAAATTCCCTGCTCTCAGCCTCAGAGATGGACATGTTCTCAAGGCCCACACATACATGCACCAGGTATTCAAGACAACAGTGGATGCACAGGAAGGAAGGGCAGCCCTGGCCACCACCTACTTTGAAAGAAACACAACCTTTTAAACTGCAGCATTCTAAAACAAGCTTAAAGCATCCCCTCCACCTGAGCCTTACAGGCTGTTCTTGAAATGCTCACATGCATGGAGCCAACATACCACCAAAGTAGGGCCGGAGGTATTTGTTGTATCCCATGGTGAGGTTCTCAAATCCAGGAAGGGATGTTGTGTCGCTGCTGTGCAAGCTGGATACGTGACCCAGGGAGCACCTCCTGGGGACACAAATACATACTGTGACGTGGGCTGGGCACATCTGGTGTGCAGCTGCAGCTGTATTTGCAGCTTGTGCTCAAACAAGCAAACTGCATAAAATAGTTATTAAAAACAAGTAGATAATTGAAATTACAAGCACTTGCTCACATTGCTACCTTGGCTGTATAATGAGCACCTTGAAGAGGTGGAAAAATGGCAAATTGCTTCCGCTGATAGCTACAGGTTGTACACACAGTCAGTACCTTAAGGACCTTCCTAAAATATCACAGAGATATCAAGCAAAGTCTATAGATCACAAGTTTTAACAATAACCCCCAATTTTCCCTTCCCACTCCTTCTCATACAGTCTATATAGGGAACATGCATTTCTTTTTCCTCCTGCCTAGGACAACCTGAGACAAATCTTACTGCCCAACAGCTCTTCCTCCCTAATCTCTAGTCTCCTAAAGAGGCTTCATCCTCAGATGTGAATGTCAGGCAGCTCCACACAGCTACTGCCAGGAGTAACACAGGGAGAGGAAAGGTGGAGCACTGTGCACTTCAGAGACACCCCCAGAGCTTTGAGGGCAGAACCACCCCAGCTGCATCCAACTGAGTGTCCAAACTGACCCTTTGTGACTGGACAATGGAGGCAGGAGCTGGCACTGTCAGGCTGACAGATCTGTACTATCATACAGACAGCAAGAGACACGGGGGCTTTGGACTGTACAAGGTGACTGTTCTGGTGCAGTGTCCCCAGGTGATCTCGTGCTCACTTGAGGAAAGCGTCACTGAGTGAATCCTTAGGAGTTTGTTATTGCTTTGGGCAGGGCAGAAGGAGGTGGGAGGCAGAACCTCTGCCACTCCCAGTCTCAGGACCCCGCTCTGGGCAGGAAGCAGCCATGGACTTACAGCTCTTACCAATGTTTTTTCTTCTGTTCCCTTCAAAGCTGGGTTAATAGGCCTTGTAGCTGCAGGTTCTAAGGCCATACAGGACCTCACAGCAGAACTGAACCAGTTTTTGCACATTATATACACAAAGAATTAAAGAAATTTGCGACTTGTAGGTCCAAGGATGGTAATAACAGAGTTGGCAGCCCTGGTGGGGTGGCATTTCCAGCAAAAACCTACAAACTGTGCTCTGGTTCTGAACAGGAAATTAGGGGTTGCACTAGTAATGGACATATTGTGGTTTAGGGACCTGTGCAGGTTGCTCTCTTCTATGCCACATCCCTTACTGCACCCAGCTTCCTTTGGATGGGCTGGATAACTGGAAGCATAGTTTCCTTTTGACCCACATTACTTATGTGAAACATAATTCAAATTTTCCCTGTAAAACAAAACAAGCCTTCCACTTACCTTTGGGTTGGAAGGAAAAGACACAGACTGAAGAAGGAAAAATATCTGCAGAACATCTCTGGAGATTGTTTCTGTAGTTGCTCTGCTTGTCTGTGAAGCAGAAAAGAAAGGCAAAGTTTTGTGGTTTAAGAAAAACTATTTTAAGGGAAGGGGACAGGGAAAAGAAATGCTGCACTGTCAGAACCATCACTGTGTGATGTTTAACATTCCTGATACACAGTGGTTCCTGCCCTTCTTCCTGGCTAGTGTCATTTTTCAGCACATTCTGTCTTAACACTTACCACCATAAAACACCCTGTTGACAACTCAGGTCCTGAATTCCTTGATAAATTTTAGCTGCTCTTCTATCAGTATGGGATGGCCATTAGATGATGTTGAGAATGGCACCATGGGAAGGGATTTATTAAGTAGGAAAATGTTGGGGTAGTTCCCAGAGCAGTCAGACTCTGAAGGCCAGGTGAAATCCTGCCCACAGATGACAGTTTCAGTATGTTTTAGTCCCAGGCTCCACTAGCCAGCTACACAGAAGTGCTGTAACTCTGTGCTTCATTAACTTGTACCTGGGATGTACCATGCTATTAACAGTAATGCTGCCAAGTCACTCAGCCTGCAGTACAGCATGAAATCATTTCACTTTAAATGGGTTTCGTTGACTTTTCTGGGAGTGGAACCAAGTCTTGGCTTTTGGCCTGAGATTCCATGGGCTCATGCTGGCCTTGGAGCAGGTGCCACAGTGGGCAGTTCTGAGCTGTGCACTGCTCCACTGTGATTTTTTGCTCCCAGCTTGAAGTGCTGCTCCAATCACACACCTTTCTTTCAGGGCCTCTCTCATTACACAGGGCAATTGGGGCCTCAGCTTCCAACCTGGCTGCTCTGTAATAACCCAAATATCAGGAATTTTCTGCTTGGGTTAGATTCTTCCTGTGGTAACTCTCCACAGCCCAGAGGACACTGTCTCCTCAGCTGGAGGCATGGCTCTGGTGCTGTGTCACAGGACAGCTGAGCTCCAGACAATAACAACATTGACCATACAGAGCCAGTAAAACCCCCTGAACATTTAAGCACCACAAATGCAGGGCATCCCAGTAGAGAAAGGATGTTTTTTCAAAACAAACAAAATACGCTCTAATACTTGTCCAGCATCTGAATTCCTAACAAGGCTTTGCACTTTTAGGCCATTCTTTGAACATGGTATTCAGGTGTTTCCAGATGCTATCGAGTGCTCCTCATTATAATGTGATGATGCAGGGCTAGAGAGAGAATTATTTACCCACTCGCAGCAATGTCAGATCACAATTTTGATGGAAAAGAGGGAGGATTAGCCCAGGTAGTTTAAAGAAGAATTTCTAGAAAGAAGTTAATTTTACAAATTAGACTTTAGTTGAAAGTATGAGAATTCATGACCCTCAGCAGAGGAACCCCTCATGAGCATCCCTCATGACCACCTGTTTTGCACAGGATGATGGTAAAGATATTAAATACATCAAAGACTATGAGGCAGGGAAAGGGAGATCTGTAGGTACTGAAGAGAGCTAAATACTGGGCATGCCAAAGTGCTCCTGGGCAAGAAAAAAGTGACACCAGTGTCTAGAACTGAACAGAACCACAGCATTTCTTCACTACTCAGTGTATTGGTTAATACAATGGCAATTCTGCTTTTATAGGACAGGAGATTTCATCAGAGATTACCAGTACAATATACCGTGAAGAAATTAAAATCGTATTGTGTATTTATGTCTCTCTCTGTCCAATAAAGGATTTAATTCTAATAGAAAAACATACCTTTAAGCACAGTTTAATCTGGCCAGTGAAAGCATGGCCCAGGCAATACAGAAGAGCAGTACTCATGAAGGCAGTACCAGTACTACTGGTGCCAAGGCTGCTTCCAATGCCAAAGTTATAGAATAGTCAATCATTATGTAGACTCAGAATGAAACCCCTGAGAATATAATAGCTTGCCCACTCAGCTCTGTATTCTCCCTACTGGCTGTGAAAATCGTGCAAAGAGGCAAGTTTTGAAGCAAACTAGATCCAGTTAGAGTCCTCTGTGGAAGCCTGTGTCTGCTTGCAGAGAATTTCCTGAAACAAAGCTTCGTTACACCACCGAACAGCAGCAGTATGCATCTGCCACTACACCTCAGACTGTGCTTCCTTAATCCTGCTCTATTCCTCTGTCTTTGAAGAGGTGGTAGGAGTGAAAACAAAAAAAGGAAGAAAAATCAAAATCACTAGCAGCATCAATAATTCTGTTTATAGAGAATGGGGTGTGAAGTAAGAGAGATGTGCACGCTCACCTGATGGGGCCTGAAGTGCTCCCCAGGCTCCCGTGCCCTACTGCCAGTGTAACCCACAGTGGCAGCTCCTTCACAGCCGTAAGGGCCTGTCCAGGGAGCCCTGCCTCACCTCCTACCTGCCACCCCTGTCCCTGCACAGAGCAGCACATTGGCATATTCTCCGATTTTCCACTGGCTGGTGACATCCCAGTGCCAGGCAAAGGGAGCATTTACGAGAAGCTAAAATACCATCCCAAAAACCAAACCCATATGAGCTGTTTACTAGGCTTGAGATCATAACTCGCAAGGTCAAACATTAGTGGAGCCGGATTGCTCTGATTGCAAAATGTGCAGCACGGGCAGCGTGCGTCTAGAGTAAAGCCTGGATGGGGAAGATAGAGAAAACAAATACTGAAATAAAACCAGATTGCATTTAATTTGCCCATTTAGGTGATGCCTTAATTTATTACAAAATGTTAAGATTTTCATGCTGAACTCAGGCACAATTTGTCTGTTCTATTTCCCTCGTAGGGAAATTATTTCATTGGGAGTGAAAGCTGTGCAGGGAACCCCCAGGCTGTGTGTGCCATGGGCAGGGGTCACGGGCACAGAGGGGATGGGCAGTCCATGGACAGCCTGTCCCTCAGCACAGCCCTGCAGCCCCCGGGACACCCTCGCTCCTGAAACGCTGCCTGAACCAAACCAGTGAGACCACAGCCAGAAATGTCAGGCAACCACTGTCACTGGAGTGTTTTCACAAGTGCTTTGATTCCCAGGACAAGGTTTGTCAGCCATCACTTGGGGACACTTGTTTTCACCCCAGACATGGAGCTGGGCATTGTTTGGCTGTGCCAAACATTGTTTGGCAGCAGCACAGCCCTGGCTGCCTGGTGGCTGCCCTGCCCTGCCCTGCCCTGTGCTGTGCTGAGCTTCCTTTGGCCACTGACATGAATGTAATAATTGCCACATAAAATTACAAAATGATGGGGGAGGCACAAAGCATCACACACTCTGGAATCAGACTTCCCTGGCTTTGCCAAAACGTCACTTCCAGTTCAAAATATTTGTTTGTCTAGAAGAGGTTTTGAGTGATTTAAGACATATAATGTCTCTCTTTTTTTAATGTTTCTTTTTTTCAGGCTGGACAAGGCAACTGTGAGCAGTTGTCTGATCCTAAAAGACAACTGTTTTGGGAAAGTGCATGGGCAGAGGATTTTGTAAGGAAAGGTTCAGCATGACAGCTGCTGTGAAAGATCAGGTATACTGATATTATGAGAGCTGTTCAAATTTTAACTTTTGACCCCACAAATCACGAGATCAGCTGAAAATTAAAGTCTTTAAAACGATATGGCCTCTTAATTTCTACAATTTTAAACTTTAATTTGAAATACTTTTACTTTAAAGCTTGTTCTTCCAAGAAAAAAGAATAATTACTATCTTTTTAAATTTTTGAATGCTGAATATTTATTTTGGCAGGCCAGAAGAAAATACAAATCAACTACAAGGAAGAGAATTGAGTTAACAGGAAAAAATTTTTGCATCTTTCGATGCAAGCACTCTTACTGGGAACGTTAGTTATTTGACACTAAAATAAATTCAGAAAAAACAAATCCCATTATTACAGAACTGAAGAGCTGGTGGGATCCTGTCACATATCAACAGATATGTGAGGTCAGTCCTTGGCTGGTCAGAACAAAAGGCAACATTAGAAGCTGGTGGAGGTAAAGGGAGTGGGAGAACCTGGAAACTTGGAAACCCATAGGCTGGTAACACTGAGACTGTTTCTGGTTTTTACTTTCAAAAATCTCTTTTCATGCCTATAATATTTTCTGACTAAAACAAGATATTGAGAAAAGACTTCCAGTCTGTGAAATAAGAGAAGGTAAACCAAAGCACATAATTTGGGGTTGAAAAGAATGTCTCATATTGACTGAAGTCTTACATGCATTTGTATTCCGTCAAAACCTCAGAAAGTTTCTGCTTTGGTTGGACACTTTTTCTGTCCTGCTGGTTTCCCTGTCTGGGAAAATATAAACTCAACCAGGTTGTCTAATAACTTGACCAATCCCAGAAGATCATTATTTGGGCAATTTTTGCCTGGAAGAGCAGGAGGTGTGTTCCGGAGCAGACACTGTGGCAGCCCAGGCCCCAGCAAGGCAGGTGCTGGCTGTGGCAGGGTGACCCCAGTGCTGAGACCTGGCTGCCCAGGGACAGGCACCAACTGCTTTATTCTGCTATTTGCTTTTTGTCAGTAGCCCTGAGTGGTTATCTGGAATCACGGACAATTAAAAAGGTGACTTCGTGGTACTTGCAGAAATCTTTCAAGACCCTGTGTGAACTTCTGTTCTTGGTAAAAAATAAATTCTTTCCATATATGTCACTGCCATTACATCACATGAAAAATGACCTCTCCGTTCTAGGAGCAGCAGGCACAGCTGAGGTGACCCTGCTGTGTCTGGGCACAGCTGAGGTGACCCTGCTGTGTTTGGGCACAGCTGAGGTGAGCCCTGCTGTGTTTGGGCACAGCTGAGGTGAGCCCTGCCGTGTTTGGGCACAGCTGAGGTGACCCTGCTGTGTCTGGGCCCCGCTGACCTCAGCGCTGTGCAGGACTGGCTGGCAGGTCACAGGAGCAGCACCTGCCCCCACAGGCCATTGGCCCCCCAGAGATGTCCCAGGCTCTGTGGGACAAACAAACACTGGGTCACTTGCAGATACAGAGCCCACTCCTTGTTTCATACCTGCTGGTATCATTAGTGGTATGTGCATTCACATTCATATCCTTTATACATAGTATGG